AATGCTCCCAGCCCCTAAGCTGGGAGGGGAAGGAACTGCAGGCTCAGGCAGGGTTATTCTGGGTCTCCGTTTCATGAGAACCCCCTTTCCTCCAGCCTCCTGGTCAGCCTATAAGAGTAGGGCAGATCTGCTAGTGTTGAATTTTCTGTTTTTTGTTTACTTGGGAATGCCCTAATTTTGTGTCATTTTGAAGGATATCAGCCTATCATCCCACTATCTGTGGCTTCTATGGTTTCTAGTGAGAAGTCAGTTGTTAAGATTAACTGAAGACCCTTTTATGGGTAGAGTTTGTTGAACATCTTGGATGTGCAGATTAATGTTTTTCATCAAATTTGGGAAGTTTTGGGAATTAATTTTGGTACAGGGACTGAGCTAGTGGTGCTTTACCATTGAACTATCCCCCCCAACCCTTTTTATTTATTATTTTGAGAAAGGCCTAAGTTGCTGAGGCTGGACTTAAACTTGTGATCCTCCCGCTTCGGCCTCCTGAGGTACTGGGATTAGAGGTGTGTGCTACTGTGCCTGGCTGGGCCTTTATTTTTTTGAATAATTTTATGTCCCTTTCTTTTCCTTTTCTCAGTGTTTGCATGTTGGTAAACTTCAGGTTGTCCCATAAGTCTTGTGGATGCTTATTTTTTTAAAGTTTTTTTTTTTCTTTTGTTTCCTTAAACTATACTTTCAGTTGATCTGTCTTCAAGTTTGCTGGTCCTTCTACCATTTCAAATCTATTGTTTAGTCCCTATGGTGAGTTTTTCATTTCAGGTACTATACTTTTCAACTCCAGATTTTTTTTTTTTTTTTGGTACTGGGGATTGAATCCAGGGTGCTTAATCACTGAGCCATATCCCCAGCTCCTTTTTTTTTTTTTTTTTGTATTTTATGGGAGACAGGGTCTAGCTAAGTGCCTCACTAAGTTGCTGAGGCTGGCTTTGAATTTGTGATCCTCCTGCGTCAGCCTCCCAAGCCGCTGGGATTACAGATGTGTGCCACTGTGCTTGGCTTGATTCTTTTTTTTTTTTTTTAATCACTTTTTCCTCTTTGTTGAGATTCTGTATTTGGTGAATGAGACATTATTCTCATACTTGATTTTGTTCTTTAGACATGATTTCCTTTAGTTACTTGAACATATTTATAATAGTTGATTTAAAGACTTTGGACTGGGCATGGTGGGCAGCTCTGGAAACTGGATTCTCCTGGACCCCAAGGCTGCTTATTGTTGCTACTATTGGTTTGTTTACTGACTTTCTGGGATCAGTTCTGTATTCTTTGTCATATAAGGCCACTTAAGTGTGTATGTTGGTGTATATTTTCAGTGCTCCAGCATATAGTTTAAAACTCTACTTTAGCCTTAATTTCCTGCTTACTCTAAGCCTCAAAGTCTGTAAAAGTTGACCGATAGATGGAAGCTGTCTCAGAACTTTCCTTGGCCCAGGACAGACAGCCTTGCACAATCACATGACTTTCTAGATTCCTGGAAACATTTTCATTCCCTAGTATCTTTTTATAGTTTTTTAGTCATATTCTTATTAGCCCCAATTGGTATCACAACCCTAAGGCGGCAGTGATGTTAAATAGTTGCCAATGATTTTTTTTGGACAAATGGTTTGGGATGGGAGCTGGTTTGTACAGAATGAGGTCTGAATCAGATCAAATAAAGACAAGCCCTGAAGATAGTGCTTTTCCTGAGTTCCCAGATAGGTCAAAGAGTGACATTTCTCTGGGGATTATGCTTTTTTAGGAGCTCCAAATCCATTCTGCCTTTTCCAGTGGCTTCTAGCTTGATGGTTTCATAGTTGTTGTAGCAAGTTGGCTGCTTTTTAAGGCTACTGCAGAGCTGACAAGAGGGGAATGGGAATAGGCAAATTGTAATTCTACAGAGCTCATCGTTTTTATTGAGATTTAGCCGTTTTCCTTGAATAAATACTCCTTATAGTTTGTTAAGGGTTTGATTTATTTCCTGAGTTCTGAAAAAGAAATGTTGACTTTCAAAATGTTGACATTTTATTTTTGTAATTTAGGGCCTCATGCATGCTAGGCAAGTGCTCTGCCACTGAGCTACATCCCCAGCCCAGTGCTGACAGTTTTTGCCAGTGTCCTTACTCCTTGCTCTCATGGAGGAGCTGATTCTCAGAGGTCCTCATTAACCATTCTGGAAGTATTTCAAGTCCTCTGCCCCTTTTCTGAATGTATGTTTCCTGTCCTCCTGGGTCACTGTGCTTCAGCTGCACTGGCCTCACTGTTTATTCAAGAAACCAGGTTCTGTTATGTGGCCTTTGTACTACTTTTACTTCTACCTGAAGATTTACCCCCCAGGTGTTTGCATGGCTTGCATCTGCCCTCCCTCATCTTTGTTCAGGTGTTGCCTTGTCAGTGAGACTTCCCTGACCACTGGACTTATTTCTTGAGCCATCTTATTTACAATTATAACTTTGCTTGCCCCATGCATTCCTTTTCTTTTTGATTTATTTTTCTCTTTAATACTTATCCTTGTACCTATTAAATAACTTACTTTAGTTTCTTGAATTTTATTACCTGTTTCCTCCAGTATAACACAAACTTCCTGAAGTTAGTGATTCTTTTTATCTATGTTATGTTGACCTTTGTATTTTCATCACCCAGAACAGTGCCTGGCTCAAAGTTCATAAATATTTGTTGACTGAATAAGTAAGTAAATATTAAGGGTTATAAAAATGTCACTTGGAAAAAAAAAAAAGACTATAAGCAGTCTTACCAGCAGAAACTACCAGCTGTTTACATGTCTGATTTTTTAGCTGCACCTACTGTTGTATAATAGGTACAATTCTCAGTGTTCATATTTGAGGTCTTGTCTCACCCTCCAGATGGACTTATCTCAGGAGGCTTGATTGAATGGGGGTGAAGTTCATTGGCAGATTATTTGACTTATAGCACCACTTATAGGTTATTTAATTGGTTATTATTTTGTCATGCTATTAGCCAAAGATTACTCTTTATCTTACGTTCTATTCAGTTGGTTATTTTTCTGAAGAACTCAGTGTTTGTTGCCTTCCTTCCTTCTTTCCTTCTTTCTTTTGATTTAAACCAAGGGCCTTGCACTTGCTAGTCATGTGCTCTACCAAGAATTCAGTGTTTTCATATTAGTTTTTCCTAGCTCCTAAAACTAAAACTCAAATGATATGGTTGGGTGATGTTGTTTTAGTATTTCTGTTTTGGCACTGAATCCAATCATTTTTTTCTAATAAAACCTTATTTTACATTTTGTGCACTACATTCTTTTTTTTTAAAATTTTTTTTTAAGTTGTAGATAGACATAATACCTTTATTTTTATTTATTTTTATGTGGTGCTGAGGATCGAACCTAGGGCCTCATGCATGCAAGGCAAGCACTCTACCACTGAGATACATCCGCAGCCCCTGTACACTACATTCTTAGTAGGTAAAACTGAAATGCATATAGCCAGGCACAGTGGTGCACATCTCTAATCCTAGCTACTCGGAAGGCTGAGTGGAGGGTCAGAAAGTTTGAGGCCAGCCTCCTCTACTTAGTGAGATTGGTGTCAAAAAATATTGGTAAGTCTTTGGGGATGTGGCTTATTGGTAGAGTACCCCTGGGTTCAATCTCCAGTATTGAAAGAAAAAAAAAGCTTATAATATTGTCCCTTTACTCTCTAAAAACATTATTATTATTATTATTATTTGAGAAGAAACTTTATATAAAAGCTTTCCTCTTATGATCACTGAGAAGTATCTTTCCTTGGCTCTTATTTCTTCCTTTATTTCATATATTTATCTGTGTGTGTGCCCTGTCTATAACCGTAGCTTCTTGAGAGAAAGGAGCCATGTCTTTCTTGTCTTTATACCCCTTGCAAAACCTGAACAACCATTCATTGAATTACTACAAGTGTTAATTTGTGTAAATGTTCTTTAAAAATCCATGGAGTGCAAAGAAATGTCATGTGATATTTTCTGGGAGTGAGTGGCATTGATATTAAATTTTATGGACTTTGGAGATAGTGACATTCCTGTGGACGGGGAAGTTGGGCAAGACTTTGCAGAGAAGGCAGGACTCAAGCTCTCTGGAAGAGATGTAGCTGTTCTGTGTTTGGAATGGGAAGTCCAGAGAGAGGGAAGAGCCTATACAGTCCTGAGGGGACTATGCAGAGATAGTTAAGATCAGTGAATGGGTCAGAAGTGCACAGGTGGAGGATGTGTGAGTGATTGAGGGTAGAAATGTCAAGTTGTGTTTTTAAGCCTTCTATTTGCATGTCACCTTTAGGCAAAGCCTTTTGCTTCTACTTTTTCATTCATTAATTAATTAATTAATTAATGTACTAGGGATTGGAACCAGTGGTGATATACCACTGAACTTCATCCTTAGCCCTTTATATTTTTGAAACAGGGTCTCACTGAGTTGCCCAGGTCAGCCTGAACGTGTGATCCTCCAGCCTCAGTGTTCTGTATAGCTGGTATTACAGGTGTGTGCCACCACACCTGCATGCAATTCCTTTTTTTGATATCAGGCTAAATGATCTGGACTTTTTTTTAATAAGCAAGAATTTTTGGGTAGATTGAACCCAAGAGTGCTTTACCACTGAGACATATCCCCATTCCTTTTTATATTTTGAGACAGGATCTCACTAGGTTGCTTATAGGCTCGCTAAGTTGCTGAGGCTGACTTTGAACCTGCAAACCTCCTGCCTCAGCCTCCCAGACCACTTGGATTATAGGTGTGTGTTAGCATGCCCAGCCCCATTTCTTTATAAGGTGATCCTAGTGCAGAAAAAGAAGAGTGTGTTCAAAGGACCATGGACTTCAGAAGAGGTGGAGGATGGGGGAGGGCCAAGAGCTTCTGGGAGAGCTGGGGAAGGTGATGGCTGAGCTGTGTCTCAGAGGATAGGTAGAAACTCACCAGAAGGAAACATGGAAGTCAATTTGACTTTTATGATGTTCTTTTCTATCTTTATATATACCTTTCCCCCACCTTTTTTGGTGCTTAATGGCATTTTTCTTCTTTTTGCAAGGATCTACCGCTACCAGTCTCATGACTATGCCTTCAGTAGTGTAGAAAAATTACTCCATGCTGTAGGAGGAGATGACTTCCTTGGGTTGCTTAACCGAACGCTTCATGAAACCTTGCAGAAAGCAGGCTTCTCTGAGAAATTCCTCAATGAAATGATTGCTCCCGTCATGAGGGTCAATTACGGTCAAAGCACAGACATCAATGCCTTTGTGGGTAAGCCAGGCCTTGAAAAGTGTTGCATGATTGTTCATAAAAGAACTTGATGGTGTTAGGATGGTTCCTCACTTTGGGCCGTGGTTTGGAGAAGGCTGTCTTTCTCAAAATTGCAGACATTGCTGGGCATGGTGGTACACCCCTATAATTCCAATGGCTCCAAAGGCTGAGAGAATTGCGAGTTGAAAGCCATCCTCAGCAACTTAGCGAGGTATTGAGCAACTCAGTGAAGTCCTGAGCAACTCAGTGAGACCCTGTCTCAAAATAAAATTAAAAAGACTGGGGATGTGGTTCAGTGGTTAAGGCCTACTGGATTCAATTCCCAGTACCAAAACAACAACAACAAAAAACCCCCCAAATTCAGACATTGTTAGCAAAATTATGTATTTATAGGTGTGTATTTTTAGGAGAAGGTTCTTAGCTTCCAATAGTTAATTGGTTCTCAACTGGGTAAGATTTTGCCCCAAAGGGCCATTTGGCAATGTCAGAAGACATTCTGAACAGAACATTTAATTGGAAAGGGAGAGGTTATTTAATTGGGCTTCTTTCAAAGTCAGAATGAAAACACATTTTTTTCCCCCCTTTTGACAACAGGGGCAGTGTCACTGACTGCTGCTGATTCTGGCCTTTGGGCAGTAGAAGGTGGTAATAAACTTGTTTGTTCACGGCTCCTCCAGGCTTCCAAAAGCAATCTTATATCTGGCTCAGTAATGTATATAGAGAAAACAAGGACCAAGCAGACAGGTGAGTTTGAATTTTTATTTCTAATTATCCCTGCAGAAAATGGTTGTTCAGTGAGAAAAACTCCTTTTGCATCTCTCATTGTTTCAAAAAGATAGAATTTTAAATTGTTTATGTTATACTCTGTAGAAATATTCCCAAATGTTCTCAAATACAATGGCACGACTCTTTGGATTTAAAAAGCAATCTCATCAAGAGTAACAATGCCATATTTTGTATTTATTGACATTCTGAATAGGAAATTGTCCTCAATGTAATAAAATTGCAAGGAACCTTTAGTTAGCTTAAGGGCTAAAACTCTTTAATTTCTTGGAATTAAAGAGAAACTATTTAAGTTTTAGAATTATTTTTAGATGGTATAAAATACAGTATGTTAGAAACACTAAGAAATGTGTGCTGCCTTTTTCTTTCTAGGAAATCCCACAAAGATGTATGAAGTGGTGTACCAAAGTGGATCCGAGACCCACTCAGACTTCTATGACATCGTCTTGGTGGCCACTCCATTGAATCAAAAAATGTCCAACATTACTTTCCTCAACTTTGATCCTCCAATTGAGGAATTTCATCAGTATTACCAACATATAGTGACAACTTTGGTTAAGGGAGAATTGAATTCAACTGTATTTAGCTCTAGAGCCAAAGATCAGTTTGGCCTGTCTACAGTTTTGACCACTGATAGTTCAGACCTGTTTATTAACAACGTTGGGATTGTGTCCTCTGTAAGAGAAAAGGACAGTCCTCAACCATCAACAGATGGAACGTATGTTTGGAAGACTTTTTCCCCAGAAGTTCTTACTAAACAACAAATTTTTAAGCTCTTTTTGTCCTATGATTATGCTGTGAAGAAGTCTTGGCTTGCATATCCTCACTATAAGCCCCCGGAGAAATGTCCCTCCATCATACTCCATGATCGGCTGTATTACCTCAATGGTATAGAGTTTGCAGCAAGTGCCATGGAAATGAGTGCCATCGCAGCCCATAATGCTGCACTCCTTGCCTATCACCGCTGGAATGGGAACGCAGACATGATTGACCAAGATGGCCTCTATGAGAAACTTAAAACGGAGCTATGAAATAACATTCTCGTTTTTCCTCTCCTGGTTCCCCATGAGTACCACTGGCAAAAAAAAAAAAAAAAGAAAAAAAGAAAAATCTGAGCAGAAATGATTTTGAAACAGATATTTTGCCATTTTCATCATTTTACAAAGTAATCCTGTTGTGTTCCAAGAAAATTACAAGGTTTGGATAACTCTTGCCCTTATCCATCTCCAAAATTTCTTGCAATATCCATTGACAGTGTTGCCCAAGCTCGTCTAAGAATCATCTGGAGTTCCTTAAACAAGGGTTCTCTCTTTGAGATTCTAATTCAGTAGGTTCAGGGGTGGGACCCTGGAGTTTGATCAAAAGCGTTTTAAGATGAGTACTTGAGGAAGAACTTAAAGACATCTTAGTTGGGTACTAGTTTATTTGAGCTTCACAGCTGAATAAAATCTTCAGTCAGATAAAACCACTCTGGAAGTTGGCTTAGTAATTTATATGCCTTTTTGATGTAAATGCCTAAAACCTTGACTTTTGATTGTTTATGTTTTGATTTTATTAGGGGTAAAATTCAGAAGTCATAGAGTATAATCTTAAAATTTAAAAAAATGGCATGCTAGGCAAACACTCTGTCACTGAACCACAACCTTTGTTCTAATGTTCTCACTTGAGGAGCTTTTAAAAATTACTGATAGGCCCTCACAACTAGAGATTAGGAGTTAAAGGACTGAGGATACCAACTTGTCATTAAAAGGAGGACTAAGGATACCACCTTGTCAGTTTAAATTTCTAGTGTGCAACTAGAGAAGCACAGATGGGGGAATTAAAATATCTATAAAGGGTTTTTAAAAAGTGCCTTAAAAGTAGTAAGAAACACAAAACATCAGAGCAGATCCATTGCAAGGAATCTCAATGAGAACTTCAGAATTAATCTTGATAGTAAGAAACACTGACAGCCTAACAGCAGAGGCAACTTCTGTAACCCTAGAGCAGCTGGCATTAGAGAAGGACATTTAGAATGCCACTAAACTTAACCAAGTTCAGATAGTTTTGGAATGTTAAATGCATCAGTTACTGTAGCATGTGAGGTGAAAAGTTGGTTGCTAAAATCTCAGTGGCAGTGGCTCTCAACTTTGGCTGTTAGAATCAACTGTAGGGCTTAATGCTTCCTGTACACAACCAAACTTGAGAATCAGTTCTACATCTGCTATATGGAGATCATGAATCAATGTCATAGTCACTGGTAGAAAAGAACCTATGTAAAGCTTATACATTAATAATAACTGAAACCAGGTTAAGTGCCAGATTATGGCAGTAGCTACTTTAGCAAAATGATGTGAGAAAATGCTGACTCTTAACCATTATTTCTTCCCTACTATGTCTCTGAATATTGATATCTGAAAAAAAACTGCTAAGATAGTTGATATAGAGGCAGGAATTAAGTCTATCATTTGTTGAAGGGTTATATTTTTTTCTAATTTTATTATCAAGTATGTTAAGAGGCATTTATGTTCTCCTTTTGTGGTTTTAATGAAGACTATTTGTAGTGAATGTAACATTGTTATATGCTTTGATAGTCCCTCCTCCATCTGAGGGAAATTATGTTGGAATACTCCTAGTGGATTCCTGAAACTGTAGACAGTATACATAGCAAAAGACAGTCTTTTCCTATATATCTATATACATATAGTTTAATTTATAAATTAGGCACATTAGATTAACAATAATCATAAAAAGATAATATAACAAATGTTATTTTAAACTTATTTCTGTCATTTTCCATTTAGTACACTCAGACCATGGTTGACTAAGGGTAAACTAAAAATTGGGAAATGAAACCACAGGTATGGGAGGACTACTGTAAATAATGGTAAATACTAATGAAATGGTTTAACTTTTATCATTTGTACACTTGTTTTACAATGGGATATATTTTTTCTTGTAAGAATACCTATTTAAAATGTTTCATATCAAACCTACTGACTTAAAATTCCAGTAGGGCATCTGAAATTGCTTCCTCAAAACCAAAACAGGTTCTAGCAGGAGTATTAGGTAGTTTCAGTATAATTACAGTATTAAAAATAATATTTTTTTCTAGAAGAAAAATTACTATTAAAGCCTGCTATTCCAGGCCCACTAGTTTTAATGTAACTACAGCATTAAAGAATAATTTTATTAAAACAAAAATACTATCAGGTTTTGCTATTCCAGGAGATTATTATTTTTTTTTAACAGAAGAGACTGGGAGAAATGATGTAGGGGTGGAACGAAGACAACTCTACTCCAGTGGTTCTCCAACTGAATTAAGTATGATTTGTTATTCAACACATTTGTAGTGGGATACAAAAACTTTTATTTAAGTTCTAAGGAGATGCTATTGTTCTAGGAACCACACTTGGGAGAACTGGTTCTACAAGTTAGTTCTGTATGGCTGCAAAAATTACCAGCAGTGAAAACAGAAATGCTAAAGAATATACTGGACTTCTTGTCAACTCATTTTACTGTGATTTAGTTTGATCCCTTTGGCTGTTCTTTTGTTTTATAGTTTCTATAAATAGGAAATACTATATCTATACTCTTCATTGTGTTAAAAACTTACATATTCCCGTATGTATTCATGTATACATAGTTTTAACTGATTTGCAGGCTTTTTTCAGATCATAAAATAGGCCTTAAGCATTTTCTTGGAATGTTTAAGGTTAGGCTTATAATACAACCATCTGTAATAAACCTCTCATTTGAGCTTGTGAGCCATAAATAAAATTTCATGAACTAGATGAATATATTGTGGACAGCATTCTCACTGCTCTTCTCTATTCTAAGAGCCACAATACACTGGAATGCTTTTCTCTGAAATTCTATTTCTACTCTTCAAAATTTCTCCACGTAATGATTATGTTTAAAAAATAAACCACTATATTATTACGTCCTGTGTTTTACTTCTGTTGCACTATACTTAGAATGTAGATGTACAGAATGAGCAGTTGTTATCTGCAATACTACAACTTTTTTTTGGAGCACTCATACCAGTCCTCATGCGACTAGCTGCTGTCAAAATGCAGCAAACACTAGCTTTGGGTCTCATCCCATAACTTACTGTTTGTACAAATATTCTGAAATCTGAAACACTTCTGATCCCAAGCATTTGGATAAAGGATAATCTACACCTGGAAAAGTCAGAGTATAAGTTACCAGTTTACATGTTTCATAGTAACCCCACTCATGCATTCAGGTTGGCTATTTCTTTCTCTCAGCACTAAAAAATGGAGAAAAATCCTTGTAATGTTTCACACTCAGTAAGATTCTCCTATTTTAATGTATAAATATACTTTTTAGAATCAGTCTCAACCATGAAAATTCACGTTAGAAAAGTTAAGAGCTAACATTCTATGTCTGCATTCAAAACATCTGACAAAGCTTTTTGCTACTGAAGTTTATTTAACAAAAAGTTTAATATGAAAGTGTACATGACCCAATTTTCAAGTCATAGTTAAACAGGGCTTCTGGAGGGAGGACACAGATTTCTCTGCTGAACAGCTGTTATTTATACTCGTTCTAAGGCTTCTAACATGATGATACTGTTTCCTCGTATTACCTGGAAAGAGAAAAGTAAATTTCATTCAGTAGATAATTTCTACCAAATCATTAATAGATTCTCCACATTACATATCAGTTTGTGAGACTTTTTTCAAGTCATAGGGCGACCAAATAAATCTTTTAATCCTGACATGAAACAGTATACTAAGTCCTTTGGAAGAGATAACATGATTTCTTTTCTTTTGGGGGTGCAGGGGGTACCAGATATTGAACTCAGGGGCACTCAACCAACCACTGAGCCACATCTCCAGCCTTATTTTGTATTTTATTTAGAGAACGGGTCTTAACTGAGTTGCCTTAGCACTTTGTCATTGCTGAGGTTGGTTTTGAACTCATGATCCTATTGTCTCAGCCTCCTGGGCTGCTGAGATAATAGGCGTGTGCCACTGCATCCAGCCAATAATTACTTTTTGAGATGCCAAATCCCCACTGATTCAATTTATCTTTTAAACTTACAGGACTCAAAACATACACAGTCCTGTCCTACAGATCTAAAAATCAATAGGAAAAACAGGCAAAGAAGGGTATATATGTCAGTACATACATATATGAAAAAACTTAGGAGGGAATTTGTGCAATATCAGCTGGACCTACTTAGGAAAGTGGGTAGAACTTCGACAGGGTAAATTCTCAACAGAATGAGGATGAAGACAAAGTATAAGGGAATAAGGAAAGAATCTAATTTGAATGTCACAGGAAAGACATGAAGGAAGGTGGAAACCAAGATACTTGGTATCCAATCTTAAAAGGTCTCAAATGCCAATCTTAAAATGGAGGGCATTTAACTGGCAAACCAATAGTTTAAAATAAAATAAAACTTAATGATTAGAGGAAAGACAATAACAGTCCTGGCAACAACATATGTAAATATGAATGAAGGTGCTTAGAGGCAGGAAGTTAGAGAGGGCCCTAGGAACACAGTGCCTGACTTAGTAAATATGCTATAAATAATGATAAGTGGGGATATTTATGAGAACATAGATGAAATGGTGATAAGTAAATTCAAGAGGGATAGAAAAACAAGTGGAAATTGGAAGGGACTGGAAATAAGAAGTCTCTGGTGGACTTATGGATCATAAAGATCTGTAGATCACAGACCAGTGAAGTAGAACTGAAGAATGAAAGGACAGGAGTGGGATGATAAAAAATATGATTATCGAAGTGTTTATTAAAAATAGAGGCATTTTGGGCTGGGGTTCTGGCTCAATGGCAGCATAATTCACAATAGGCAAATTATGGAACCAGTCTAGGTTTCCATCAACAGATGAGAAAATGTGGTATGTATACACAATAGTTTTTTACTTAACCATAAAGAAAAATGAAATCACGTCATTTGCAGGGAAGTTGATGGAACCTGAGACCATTATATTAAGCAAAATAAGCCAAACTCTGAAAGTCAAGGGTTTTGTGTTTTCTTTTATATATGGAAGCCAGAAAGGAAAAGAAAGGTGGTGGAGGTGGGAATCTCATGAAAATCAAAGATCAGTAGAGGAAAGGGACTACAGAGTAAAAGGGGA